ATGTCATCTGAAGCCATCAAGTCATGTGTCCATGATCTAAACACTGGTCCTCCGATCTGGCCCTCTTTGATGGCTGCTTCTGCTCCTGCTCCTCATCCTGTGCGCAGTGAGCCAAGTACGTGTATGTATTTTTGACCAGATGGCCTGAATGATCTTTCCAGGTCATGGCTGTGACTGTTTCAATCTGTCATGACAAAGTTGATGATCCCAAGGAGTCCTTTCCAGGTCGAAAAAAAGCATCAGGCGTCTTTGGCTGCTGCCCATCATCAGCCCCCACCGCCTCCTTTGGCTTGGGATCATCAGCCCCCACCGCCTCCATCATGTCCTTATTTAAAAACAGTCGCAAACAATGATAAGTTGTCATGACCACAGTTTAATGATGACATATCTGATCCAAGGCTCAAGGATGCGCACTGCCAGCGCCGCACTGTGGATTGCACCATCCAGCTGGATGATCATCCTCAGCGGCGTGTTCCCCACATGGTTGGCCGGCGCCACGATCCGCTCCACTTCACCAATAGCCAGCTGCGCCAACTGCTTGGCATTGTGGGGATCGATCTCCCATTCCACATGTGCCTGACATCAATTGCAATGATCATGGCAATGACATTCCAATGACTACATAAGACTGATGAGGTGAAGCCCTTCCAAAGCTGCTCAAATCAAATGAAGTCATTGAAAAAGCCAAGTTACTTTTGCGCGTTCCACCTGTCCAGACCGAAGGCGCGACGCCACCTCCGACAGCCGCTCGGGACCATCATCCAAAAGGACTTCATCCATCAAGGCCTCACCTTAGATATTTGGTTTCAAACTCCAAGAGACAGAAGGGAGACATCAAAGACTTTGCACTCAATGAGACTGAGACAGCCAAGGCACTGGGATTGGAACTTGTCTCATGCTCGGAGGACTGGATGTGCTTCACCTTCCGCTCAGTGAGCGTGACCGCGTCCGGATATGGCGGGACATTGAGGAACTTGATCTCTGACTGCGGCCGCATCATGAACTTCCTCAGAAACACTGAGGAACTACAAGTCAATCGATCAATGATGGCATGACTGACCTTGCATGGCATGATGTAAATTTCCATCTTTAATCACTGAACCATTGGTTTCCTCCAAGCGGCACCGTCTCGAAAACCTGATGGATATGCCCCGGGATCTTCACATTGTAGGTGTCACCGGCCCTTGTCATCACCAGCCTCAGATGATCTGTGAACAAAGGGACAATGCCAACGATGTTCACCAGAAGCGATGACTGAAGACTTTGATAAAATCATGGATTCAAGTCAAGCAACTGCTCTTCTCTCTTCACCTTCACCCTCACCCGCTGCTCTGTCGCAGATTCAGCAGCATCCACCGGATCCGCCATGATCGAATGACAGGATGAAGGATAAATTGAATGATCATGATCCAAATGATCAAAACTCAGTGTAAAATTGAATACCTGGCATGACATGATGTCATCCTTGGCATGAGACCATGTCTAGTGTCCATGAGACCATGAGCCTAGGGCCTATTCACCATCATAAATTGAAACATGATAGAACATGTCTCTTGATGTGCATCGTCATCTTAGTAGCCGTCATGGCTGTGGCAAATCACCAAACTCACAGAACATCATCACTGACAGTGGACCGCTGAATTTTAGTTACTGTGGTCAAAATTTAAACCATAAAATTGAAGAAACACATCCTTCAACCCTTGGCCACCCCCCCCACCGCACCTCCTCCACCAGGTGAAGAGCAGTGGCCGCTGCCGCCAGCAGCCGCGAGCACGACCCGCGCGGCCACCCCCCGTCCCTCCTAACAAAACCAATATTTTTTTCATTGGCACTATTCCACTATGATAACTGCACCAAAGTAGAGGATGATCGTTCTGAATGTAGACTGCGGCATGCATGCATGCGGCATCCGAAAACCCACGGACCCAACCCCGCTTGGGGCGGCCGCCAAGGAGTCCCATCCTCTTCCCCGAGTCGCTCCAATCATCGCCCCTCTTGGCGCAGTGCGCCGCTCCGTCGACCCGGCGCAGTGCGGGCGCAGTGCGCCGGGGGGAGGGCACCGCAATCTAAGAGGTGTTGAAGTGGGGCTGCAGAATTCCCCAGAACTCCAGAAAAAGGCTCCATTCACATTCCAGCCATCAGGGTGTGCAGGTGGATGTTTTTTCAATTCGACTGATATTCTTTTTGATGAGATGTTTGGATGGCTGTTGACAGACTTCTTGGGATGAGCAAATGAGGATATTTTTAGAGGATGCTTCTCTTGCCTGAGAGTGGGCCAACACTCAAACCAGTGGGCCAACACGTGAGACGGCATGTGCATGACACACTGGAGACTGGAGGAGAAGCAAATACTTCAAGCTTGAGGATGTACTCGGACTTCTACCGCATGACAGGGATGATGGGTGTGCCCGGGTGTGCCCTTTCCCAGGTGGGGTTGTTGAGTCCGAACCCTGCAGAATCCGAAGTTCGACCAGTCACCGGGTCACGGATGTAAGCAGTTTCCCACCATTCTCCACCTGCATCACATGTGCCGATCTGCCTCCTTCACCCTTATTCCGACCGCTCCCTGCGACGCCAGGCATGGTGCGGAGGTCTTTGATTGGAGCGAGGTGTTGAAACTCAAGGCCCGGAGGGACGCGCACATTGACGACATGACGAGACCCGGTCTGCTAGAAGGTCTGCTATAGAAGGTCTGCGAACGACGGGGTGAGGTGATTTCAGCTTGCGGGAATGGCATGGGAGTGGCATAGGTTATAGGGGTCGACTGGAAGACGGCTTTCCGCCATCAAGCAGTCAGAAACCCAGTCCTGGACTGTATGATTCCAAGATGTGTGAGAAAACAATCTGAGACTGTTAGGACCTAGCTCACTGGAGTGGTTTGCCCGAGGATTCTCTATCAATCTCTATCATATATACAGATTGTAGGTATTCCTACCTTTGGAATGATTTGGACAAGGATCCTGACATTATCAAAAATCAATTGACATATATACATAGTTTCCTGGCTACAATTTTGCAAGCGTTTTGGCTGGAAAAAAACATTAACAACACACCTTAAATCTATAGTTATCTAAACTCCACTTTTACCTAAACTCACTGCTATATACGACTAATATCGATTAATATAGTGCGTCTTCTTGGAGGTCTCCCTTCAGAGTCCACCGGTCAGTCAGTGATCCAGGCTGAGTGCATCAAAGGACGAAGCAGCGAGACCTGAAGCCGTGAGAGGTCGAGAGCTCCGTCCCGAGGTTCCGGTCCGAACGATGCGTGGGGACCGGCCCCAAAGCGGCGAGGATTGTAGAACAAAGGGCAGATGGGAATCATGGAAACCTCCGATGGCCAAAGGATTAGACTTAGCTGTTTCTATCCAATTTGATAGTCTATATCTACTTCGCCTGAGCATAGTGCCATAGTGCCATACCTTTTTACATCTTGTTGTGTGTATGTGTTTTGCACTCAGCAACTGTGTGGCTTGTTCAAGAGCAAGCGTTGCCCTTGCGTTGCAAGTCCTTGCGTTGCCCTTGGCGGAATTCTGCCACCTTCGTTGTTTTTTGGCGTTCGGCTTAGCTGTGCGACAAGTGTGCCAATGATGAATCATCAGAGATCTACCACGTGAGGTTTTGAGAGAGGGGCGTGAATGTCATGAGTACATGTTCTTGTGTGACGCACATGACTTTTGAAATCAACTGGGCCAAGGTTTATTGCTTTTGGGACAAGCAGTTTCAGCATCAAAAGCCTCGCATCATCAGAAGATACGACCCAGAAAGGGGCTTGGTGCACGTATGTTGCAGACACCACAGTGTTGCAGACACCACAGGTTTGACGACCACGGGATGAGCTGCCTGATCTTTTGTTTGGCCTTATTGACATTGCCCGTTAGGGCTCCGAAGGTGGTAGGGACAGACCACCCCGCACCCCACAAGACCCGAACCACGCCACCGAACCCGAAGATGTGGTTGAAGCCCTATGGAGTTGAGAGGAAAAAACAGCTGCCTCACGGGTGCCAAATGGCTTTTCATCTGCCCAACATGGTCTTTGACGTGGAGGGCAGCTGCTGTAGGATCAAGAGCCAGCACGGATCGTGACATCTCGCTCGAAGCCTTGGAGATCTCTTGCATAGCGACCTTCGTGACTTCTGCCAATCCTGGAAGCCCAAAAGAGAATGGATTCTGCAGGATGTTTTCGTTGAGAGGAAACTTTGGGCTGACAAAATTGATAATTCTTTGGTGATTTGGTGATTTGCAGGAGTGTTGGCCTGTTCGGTGTGTTCAGATCCTTGAGCGATCACTACCGTGGCTCCAAGTTGGATGTGAATATATAAGAAATGATAAATGTATTTGTTAGAGTATACCTTCACTACAGAAAACTGGGACACCTTAAGTGGGCCTTCTTTCTTTACTATATCAATTGGGTGATTCACCGGGGGAACGAACGTCCACAACGGGAGCGTCAGTCCCCTTCCCCTCAACGACACACGTTCGACCGCGTTCGACCCGATCCGATCCACGTTTCCAGGTTTTTCTTTAAACATATACAAGTTAGATATAGTTAGATCTACAGAACAGGTTTCAAGGTTTGTTCAAGTTTTTTGTTTTTTCTGTAGGTTAGTCTATACAGAATATAGTTGAATAAAGCAAACAAAACTGAACAGTCTACACACTACGGGTTTCAAGGTCCGAGCTTCGCTTTGGGAGGCTTCGCTGGCTTCGGTGGGGTGAGGATGTCTGGCGACTTGCAGCTCGCAGGCTCGTAAAGGAACACCAGATAGACCGATGGTGTGGCAGGCCATGCAAGAACAGCATCAACGGAGCATCAACTCAAGGGGTACGGGACGCTTTCTTTAATGGCACCAAACATCAAAGAAAGGTTCTTTGGGGCACTTGATCTATATACGTCCCGTTCCGAAGGTTGTGAGCGTGAACATAAACAAACACATCCGCTAGACATCCACCTGGCCCTTGATAGATGGTAACTTTTGTGCTAGTGGCTAGAGGTACAGAATGTGTACACAGCTGCAACAGCTGGACTTGCTTTCTTGCTTCACTGGGGCACGAACACGTGGAGCCACTTTGGAAGACAAGGCCGGGTAGAAGAGCTGGGCAAACATGGTGGGCAAGAGGGGAAAGCAATGAACGTGTGATAGACTACAGTGATAGATATGCATGAGCAATATCAGTCCACAATGAGCAATGCCTGTTTTGGGGATTGGATATATATATATATATTATATATATATATTTAATTTAGGCCAACTCTCCATGGGTATACCATACTATACCTCCATCTGGGGTGGTTGAGTTGAGTTTCGAGGTCAATGTTCAATGTTAAACAAATGCCAGTCTCAGGGAGTCTTTGATGGTGTTTTCGGCGCGTGTCCTTCATAGGTGTTGCAGCCGGCGGCACTCTGACCCTAGCAATTCTGACGTCGCAGCAGCAGATGAGGATCCCGAAAACATCCTCCATGTGGTGCAGAACTTCCGGAAACAAGGCCATAGAGGTCATGATCACTCCTAAGAATTCCTTGGAGAGCTTGAACTTCAATGAATGTGTGAAGGATGGGAGAGCTTGCAAGCAACACAAAACAGGACAAATCATGCCAGCATAGACCCAAGGTAGGAAAAGATACTTGTACAGGCAGCAGGCAGCACCCAAGCGCTTTTTTAATGCAATTCGGCATGGACGTTATATCATACCGCAAGCGCCAGCACCAGCACCAGCACCCGACCAACACCGCCCGTCTCGTTTCGCGGGCTGCCCGCCAGCTCAAAAAACGCACACAGCACCAGCACCGACGCCTCGGTCGATCTCAGACAGCACAGCCAGCTCATGCTCAATTGAAGTAAGAACCCCATAGCTTATCGGTCTCTGGGGGTAGCTTATCCCCATAGGCACATTTCAAAGACGGTATGCAGAGTTTGTGTTCTTCAGACTGGTGTTCTTCAGAGCATGGTGTTCACTTTCCGCATCGCCCAGTGACGATCGAACTTGGAACTTCGGACATAGATCATAGCATTTCTTCGATCTAATTCTATACTGTAATAGTTTTAGGTGTTCTTTGTTGGACTTCTCGCAGTGGTCGCTCCAGGTGCAACCATGGGCAGGCGAGACAGTGGGATGGAGATCCTGGAAAACTCAAAAACGGCGGCCGTATGTCCCTAAGTTGGCTCAAAAACAGACTCTATTTATGGGGAATGTAAACCAGTCTATATAAGTCTATATGCTTTGACATGAGGAAAATCAACCGTCTGTGGGATATGAGATAAGAGATTTGAGGGTGATCTACACCTCTATGACTGCTGCAGCTTGCTCCTGCTGGTATACCTTGTAGAGATTTGTTAAGTTGTGTGACTTCTTGTGGAATTTCCTTTGCTTCAGCCCCGCGGAGTCCACCAGCAATAAGTTGCGGGCTTATGAGACTTGGGACGGAAGCTACCACAAGCAATAAGTTGCTGAGCTGGTTGTTGTTTGATTTGTTTGTTCCTTTCCATGCCCGTTCTCACCATGTTGTTCTTTGTTGTGCTTTTCCAGTCTTGAGGGCGCAACTCACCAAGAGCTGACTTAATTAAATTAATTACTTGATTGGGGGAAGTTCCAGTAAGTTTCACTATCCCTGCTGGGCCATAGTTTCACTACTCACTACTCTTTCAAATCTCCAGAATCTGTTTTGAAAGCACCAGGTGTTAGAGCACCACTCGGGTTTTGTGATCAGAACTTTTAATTCTAAAGGGTTGTATGTTATGTGGCTGTTTCGCTGGTGACCTGTTCATGTATGTCATTCAATTATATTGATATCCCTTGAGCCAAGTATATGTTTGCCTTGCCCACATATGCTTGTGGCCTACCACAGTCCTACAAGTTGTTTTCTTTGGGGGGCAAAAAGGAGCCACATTGGATCCAAAAGAACTAGACTTACACCAGGAGAGTCCACATGTGCGGACAACCTGTTGTGAAGGTCACATTTCAAATGTCCAGAATGTGCGCGTCTTGGATCAAGTCACTCTTGGACAGAAAAAACTTACAAGCTCCTTTGTTCTTGACTATGCTGCTGTGCTTATTCTTCTCTCCAGTGGAGGCATATTCAACGGGCTTCAACCCCGGCCCCCACGTGACATAACTTAATAGCAATTCCTAGAATTCCCCAAATATTTTCTTGAGATATACCAGGTGATACACAGCATGCTCAGAGCTTCCCAAGTTCAGGTACTAAAACCCTCACCAATGAATTCCCCCCAAACAAAAAGGATTGAACCTTCGTTCTCCCTGCCCCTCTGTGGTCTTTGGGTCGCCGACCCCAATCGATTCCCCAGGAGTCGCAGCCGTCGGCGCAGCCGCCGAAGGGCTTCGAGGCGCTGTAGACGACCCCCTGCGGGGCCGACGAGTAGAGTCCATCACCTATAGTAGGGGGTAGGTCAATATGCCGGTTCCATGGGGCGTTGGGGTATGGCCTACATGGTTAGCTGGCTCGTTTTATCCCTGTAGAGGCTCCTGGCTCGCCTCCGAAAAGAAGGTATATATGGGACACTCCCCAGTCACCCACCCGTAACCACTGAACCTGACCCTGCGACGAATCTTCATCTCATTAATCTTTGTCAGGTTTCACCCATCCAGCTCTCTTTCTTGCCAAAACCCCTCGACAGGTCTCGCGGACGACGTGATCAGAATCAAGGCCAGGTCATGAGCTTGGTTGGATATTCACTCCAGTCGCTTCACTCTGGTCGAAACGGGCGCATGGATCAAAACTCTGGTTGGAGTTTGGAAGGCCTTCGTGTTTGATTGACTCTTAAGATGTCTTCTTGAGTATCGAAGTATTGAAAATTGGCAATATACTTGGTGGTTGTTGCATGTTGTAGCTGTTTCAGGACACGTTGATGTTTGATCAAACAGTAGAATCACATGGAATCACCAAAGGCCGATGAGGGACATGTTCCAGCAAATTTTCCAGATTGGTCTCTTCACCATATGCACTGCTTCAGTCGCTCAGTCACACAATGCCAACTCACCTTTATAGGTAGTCTCCATGCCTCTTGAGAAGGCGTGCAGGTTTCGTGCAGGTTTCAAGGATCACCTTGGTCTCACCCTGTTCTCCTATAAAAAGTTTGCACCATCTAACCCAGACACGACCCATGGAACTCCCATTATTTGCCTACATTGGGGAGGATTTTTTGGGGGTCAATCAATCAATATATATATATAGAGAGAGAGAGAGATAGGTCAAATGCCCTTCACACATGGAGTGTTTAGGTCCATTGCCCGAAGTTCACTGACCATTTCTTGCTCCAACGACCCTCCCACACGGCGACGCGGCGCAGCGCCGGCCACGCGGCGACGCGTTTTAAGGCGAGGACGATGTCGGGGACGCTCCGCCGGAGGGCCAAGCTGAGAACCGGGCGGAGTGGCTCCGGTGGAAACCATGGAAGACCTCGTTGGTTTCGGGACGGGGCAGATACAACTATATAAAATATAACAAACATCGGAAGGTATTCATGGGCATTAATTTGTAGATCCAGTTTTGGTTGCATGTTTTTTGGGAGTGGTGGCTAGGAGACCAAAGACCAAGGCATGAATTGGTGGATTTCCTGCAATGTGTGAGGAAACTGGCTTCTAAGACCCTTGAGAGCCTTCAAAGTCAGGTCATTGAAGGTTGCGGTGACCTTCGTAGGTGTTCAAAACCCAGGGGTGGTTTGTTTGTTAGTTGTTTTGGTCTTATCTCCCATCCACTCTGGCTTCTAGTTGGTCGGGAATCAATTATATACAGCACGAAAGGAACTTGGGGTCAAGGAGTCTTCACGAATCAATCGGAAGAAGGAAATCCGGTGGTCACCATTTTGCGAGATACACCTGATGACCGACATGACGACTGACTCTTCGTGTTCACTCTGTCACCATTGCGACGACGCTTGAGGTATCGTTTGGATCTTTTGCCAGGCGAAGTCATGTTTTTTTGCGCGAGACGTGCATGTTGTTATTTTGAGAATGATACCTGGTATAGGTCCGGTGCAGAAGGTAGAATATGAGACCACTCCATCACCTCTTGGGCTTTACACACCCTGGAGCCACCTGCATTCACCTCCTGAGAGATGAGTTTCCATAATAGACACCTTCATGTTCTTTTCCCGCATTGGTAGCCGCGAAATCGGTCGGCAGTGTCTTCGTTTGAACAGGGTTTTGAGTTGTGAACATGTTCAAGTCTCCTAGCATAAGAAAACTGACACTCTTTTTGGTTGATCACAAATATCAGGAATAACATACAATTTCACAACACTAGAGTTGTGGCTCCTTCTTGCTCGAGCTATCCAATAATGATGACTCAGATCCCCATTGCCTCATCTCCAACTCACAAACGTGTTCCTTTGTTATCTTGAAACCGGGGAAGCTCCAAAAGACCCTTCGGGAAGGAACAAAGACTCTTTGGATTTAGAGGTCTCCCTCTTCTAATACACAATATATACATGCATTTGGCGCGCATATGCCCCATTTCAACATCAATTGCGCACCGTTGCACGACCTTCACCCCGACAACTTCTTCGCCGGACGACAGGAAGACGACAGGATCCCTATCCGACCTTCGACCTTTTAGTGGAGGAGGATGGAAAGGAGGATGGCAAGGAGGCCGAACGCCTTCGATCAGATTTTTTGCGACACTGGCAGTTCCCGCAGCCGCTTCTTTTCATTTTTCAGCGAAGCACATGCTGCGGTCACCCCATGGGAAGTCGTGGTTCACCTTTATAATATGTGAGCTGTGACAGTCATAAACTGCATGGATAGACTGCGGGATAGATGTAGGCCGACCGACTTTGATATACAGGAGATTCCAGCAGCCTCAGCGGTGGGCTCTTTAAGAACACATGACATTACAGGCCGGTTGGTGATCACCATCACTCTTGCATCCTTTTGGTTCTCTTTTTGTTCACATTTTGATACATTTCTCATTCTCAGGATCACTGCCAAGTGCTCCACATTTCGTCTCGCCGATGCGGGACACTGAAAAACTGACATGTGATGGATCGCTATGAACTGCGCCCTTGTTCATTCGTTTATGTTCGACCAGAGACAAAAGCAAAGCGGAGGTCGAGCCGAGACCTATTCTGCTTTGTGGCGACCAATTTTTTTGCTTCATGTGCATCAATGTTCAACTGGAGACTCTATAGAGAAAGTTCGCTTGATTCAATCAAAATTCATCCAACATCTCCCTGCGGTCTTTTCTGAATCACCAACTCGACGCCATCGACTTGGTCAACTGTATTCAACCTGGCAGGTTGTACCACATGTGTGTTCCAAACCTGGAGAGGCTGGTTGATGCTTTGTGGATGTCGGGATTCGAAACAATAGCGCAGATTCTATCTCTCATTTGACTGACTCTTGACCCTAGCTTGTAGGCAGGTTTGAACATTTAGTTGCAAACACTGATCATCCCTCGCTAGGGGGAAGAGTTAACACATCAACGGCATGGATTCCAGATGCATGGACTAGATGATCATGATATCAGATGATATCAGTCACTAGATCTTCACCATCAGTGATCCACGGCCACCTTCACGGTTTGGAAGGCCATCGTTTTTGCAGGAGTGTTAGGCCTTGCACCGGCCAGGCCTACGTCATCCGGGTCACCAACTCTTCCCGACGCCACATCGCCTGTGCCGGGGTTCTCCCGACGAGTCCGCGTCCCGCGGCGAGGGAGCCGCGGGAGCGTCCGCGGGTTTCGCCTGTGTCCGCTGTGTCAATGGCTTTCCTTCAGTAAAGCACCTTGGGAACAACACTAGGACACTGGTAGGTTGAACATATGTAGAAACTATATGGACCAAGGACTCCGATCCTGAAGTTGCTGTTGAGTGGCCTTCCAAAGTCAAGTCATCTTTGGGTGTCAAAACCTCGCACCTTTGGTGTCATTGCACCTCATGACCTTATGTCATAAGATCTTCAGACACCACGCAGGTTCTGTCATCCACTCATCTTCCAACCCATCCGACCGAGCCAACAAAAACGATCCACCAAGGCGGTGACTGTGGACGGGGAGAACGCGTTATTGAAAGATGGAAGTCTCATCGTCCGGATGCCCAGGCATCTGACCGTCAACTGAGTCATCCGTGCGACCAGGCATCCGTGCGGTATCCGAGCGTTTCCGGTTTCTTCTCAGTGGTGACTCGCGCTCAGAATGAGACGAGACCAGACGAGACCGTGCCGTGTACGAGACCGTGTCGTGGTGCACGTGGAGTAGATCAGTCCTGAGGTGGCACCTAAAGACGCTCGAGAGCTGCAGGGCTACTTGGTCTCTAAGAACTTCATTGGGAAGGAATATGTCAAGGACTGGACCTGCCCGCGTTGGCCTGCGTGGCGTGTTTAGAAGAGTTTTTTCTCAGAGCCCCACAAGAGGAGGTCGGAGAAGTGATAGGGTGTTGGACGGGTGGACGCTGCCTCATCATACTTTTATTACATGATATTACATTATTATGTGTTCATGTGTTTAATTTTAGCAACTTCTTTATATAAGATCTACACACAAAAAGGCATTCCATGCTATTCCATGAAATTCATCCAAGGCCGTGAAAAAAGACATGTCCCACCGTTTGAATACCTCCGCTCGTACCGCTTCCTCTCTCCCTGCGACGCCAGGAGTACCGCGACTTCCTCTTCAGCACTCCGAAGGTCATCGTGGACGCTCCCAGCCGGTGGATCACCGCCGTTCGTGGACACCGTTCGTGGACACCGGCGGCGGATTCGATGGGCCCCAGACACGAGCCGTTTGGGACTGTCGGCTTGGACTCCACGGCAGCTCCCTCGGCAAACCATGCGTTTTGCCCCGAGGATCGTCGCACGGATGCTGAACCATCCGCAGGAGTTGGCTTCAGCCAACTCAACCTGGCCATCCCAATACGAACCCAAACGCTGCGTTTGTGGATGGGCGTACTCCACGTTCTGAGGAAGCGCAGAAGGGCGATGAGTCCGAGATTCCTTACACCACGTGGGGACACTCAGATGATCATTTGGTTGCTTAAGGGCCAAGGTTGCACGATGTTGCGAATTGCCAGTAAATCGTCTTCCAATCGTTTCTGTAATATGCGTTACATGATAATACTATAGTAGCCTCGTTTCCCATGCCCATCCACCGTCACCGCCATGGCCACCGTCCGTTGTGAGGTACGGCCGCATCGTTTGCGAGGTCTACGAGGCGGTGCTGGATGAAGAGGTGAGGGTGGGGTGAGGTGAGGACAGGGCTGGGAGGGCGGGGGGATTAAAGACAGTTTGGTGAAATGCAGGACAGTTATAACCTGGTTCTTCAAAGTGACCTTTTGATAACCTGGTTTGAGGTCACTTAAGCCTCCTAAGGGTCACTTAGGAACCTTCAAAAGGTCACCTTGAAGAAGCTGTTATTGGATGTTGTTATGATCCTTTAAGGTAAGTTGTTTGTGTGTGTGTGTTGGGTGAAACCATGTATACGACCTATCTTGAACACATTAGAACACAAATGTTTCGCCATCGAACCGTCGCAGTGTTATGTCTCAAGGGTTTCGTTGTGCAATCCAATCAGAGTATCTTCTGAGAAGCCAGTGGATTTGTGGATCTGATCTCTCCAATCCAATCATAGCGTTGCAGACCCAAATCCAGGAAACTCAAGACCTCGAAGATATGGAGACACATCAACAGGTACAAAACAACATGTATCATCATGTAACCTTTCCTCAAACAGAAACAATGTGTATATAAATTTGTAGTGGGCAGCTAGAGCAGCTAGCCTGTGTGTCCCAGGACCCTCCAAGGGGTGTCTTTTTATAGCCCCCTAGCCGTTAAGGGGTTTCCATTAACCACCCCTTGAAGGCCCTGGTATAGGGTTTTTTACTTAAGTTTTCTTAAGAGGATTGTTGTGTTGATTCGTGGATCTTCTTGGGCAAACATCCTCCCCTGTCTTCCGGAAGCCCAGAGCAGAGAGTGTTTGTGCCCTAAGCTGCAGGTGGATTCGGACCAGGAGCTCCGGGGTCAAACCACGCAGCTCGGCCGATGCAACCAGGGGTCAAACCACGCTGCGGAAGGTGGGCGAGACCGAAAAAGTCAGAGAGCACCCTAGTTGTCAGATGTTGGACAGCCAAAAAGGGAATGTAGTATTTGAATCAGACCGACTCAGACCGTATGTTGTTTACGCAGAGAAGAGCGAACTTGTGTGATTAGGAGCAGCTATAATAATTGGGTTTCCATAGTTGAAAGTTGAGTTGGGCCTGTACCGCGAGACCCTAAGTCAAGTAAGGGGTATTTACTGGTGGCTATACCATTACCACTAATGTCTCTATTGTCTAAACACGTCTAATGTGGTCAGTTGAGGAAGATAAAGCACCCGATATGGAGATGGTAGAACCATCCAATCTCTTTTTGAGGGGTGTTATGATCCCCTACGAGTCCAAGTAAGTACCTTCTCAGAAGAAGGTGAGACTGAGACACTGTTATTATGTAGGTGCCAAAACGTCGGGTCCAGTCGTACCGAACCGGTTCGGTACGACTGGATCCCTATAGGCGTCAACCCCAAAACGTCCGGAGCTGCTCCTCCGGTGCTCGCACTCCACCGTGCGCGCTGGCGCGCGCCTCAGGCACTACCGCGGAGCCGGGCTGCACGGCAGCTCCGAGCAGCGCGTGGTGCCGGAGGGGCCGCTCGGCAGCTGCGATCGAGAGATGTCGATCGCGGTGAGTCGAAGGGATTGAGATCGATTGAGGGTGAGGGCTAAATCATGTTAAATTCCTGAGATTTGAATGTATATATATATATATAGGTCGTGGCGTGATGTGTTATTGCAGAAAGGTGACTGTTTTTGGGCGGGAACAAATTCAATTCAAACAATTAGAGATTTGTGTGATTCTAAACGTCCGGTTTGTTCGTTCATGGTTTGCATGAAGCAAATCATGGGAATAATACATCTAGATCTGGTAGATGTGCTGTGATTTTTTTGAGTTTAGGCAGATTCTCGGTTTTCAGAATTCTTTTGTGGGACTACGCTTCAGAACTAACCCACGATGCAGCCGGTGCAGCGCGTGCACACGATGCGCAATGCCGAGGAAACGGAAACACTTCATGTACTCGGCAGTCACGGTGCAGGCGGCGGGTATGACAGACACAGACAGTAGCATGCTCCGTCGGCGACGAATAGCATGAAGAAATGTGGGATTTTCAGTTTGCTGGGAAGAGGATTGGAATACAGTGGGTCTCTAGTGTGGAAGGCGGAAGGTTGGCAAGTCAGTTTGCAGATTTTTGCAGCATTGTTTGCAGTTTTTCTTGCTGAGTGGTTGGGGACACTGGTGAGCAAGAGTACTAGCTGGGCAATTCACATCAACCTCATGCTTGTTGTTGGCAGCTTCCTGTGGGGCATCCTTGTTATTTTTTGATATGTGGAAAGTCTCAGCAGACTTTTGTATTGGCAGTCTGCGGCCAAGACTCCTTACTTTGCACAGGATATTGTTTAAATATATTTTGCCTAGTGTGGTTTCCACCACTGAGGTGAAAGTGCGATCACACCTGGGGTTGTAAACAGGTCCACAGTTGATGGAATCTGACAGAACCTGATTAAGGATAAAACCAGGATTAGTTTTCATTGAATGACTTTAGTATGCGGAACCTTACTTTTTTTTGTATTATATATATATATATATTTGTTGTTTTTCTACTCACTGGTTGTGGTCTAGTCGTCATTTCTTCCAAAGACCAGGTCTCTCCATCTGAGTGGACGTGACCTGCCCCGCCAGGGCGCACGGTCCACCATTGCGAACTCCACCCGTGGCCGGTGGCCAGGATGCCCGGCCTTGGAAGCTGAGGGCCTATGGGGGTGTTCGGTGATGGCATGGCTGATGGCTTCTGATTGGCTTTGTCAAAGGATATGGAAGTAGAAATCCATTCTTGGGGATGCATATAGGGTCGTCTGAGTTGGCCATGCCGTCCACTTGTGATGTGTTCGTGTGTGCGTGCGCGCTTTTGCGTGGGTTTTCTGAGGAAGGATTTGTTTTTGTTTGTCTTGGTCTTTGTTCTTTTCAATTCTTCAGGAGAGAAGAGTCAGTCTACCAAGTATTGTTGCTTTCTGGGTTAATTAATCTTGGCTGTGGATGTGAAGGATACTGTATTGAAGTCTACTCTGTTTTATGGCTGCTTGAAGACAAACATTGGATTTCACATTCTAAATCTGTGCGGGGGGAACTTTAAAAAGAGCGAATCTTTGATTGCGAACCGCTCGAAATCTTGACAGAGTCAGTATATATATATATATAGATCATAGTGGATGGAACGATTGTCTCACTCTTGAAGAATGTATGATTGGTCGCCAAATCATGCCAAATCTACTTGGATTCCATATATGGAGGAGCTGCTACAAAGTTGTCATGCATGTTGGATCCACAAACAGAACAGCATCGCAGGAAATCCCGCTGAAATCCCACTGAAATGAAGGCCTCAGCACGGAGACATAGAGTAGAGACATAGATACATAGAGTAAGGTTTTGCAGCTTTGCTGATGTGGCCAATGCCATGGTGAACCATCTTTGCATGGATGGCATGGTTCTACACCTTGGGTGCCCAAAACCATCCCAGCTACCCAGCTACCCGACCAGGTGGGTGAGAGGCCAGCGGAAGATCAGGACGAAGACGGGCTGGAGGTTGAAGAACATCTTCAGACACCAAAAAACGAGGTGTTTTCGGTGTGCAAATAGTTTTTCATAGTTTTCCATTCCAAATTCTTTTGGGATGGAGACTGCATGACATTGACTCATACTATTGGAGACGGATTCAATTCACCTTGGAGACGGATTTGCGTGTTGGTTGTGTTTGGACTGCTTCTTGGTTGGTCTTTCAGTCCGTAGCCGGGATGTCAAGGATGCCGCGTCCACGGAGCGGAGGGTTTAGGAAGGACACTGTCCACAAGGTCCACTCTGCGACCCATTTGCGACATGCCAAGGTGGCTGCTTATACCAGGACCGACACCGTTCGAGGTGTCTATAAATAGCCTCTTAGAGGTTAAGAGGTGGCCAAAAACCACCTGTTGCAAGGTCCTGGTATAGTTTGGGCATTTGTGAAGCACAGCGACCCCAAGAACCGCAGCGTCGTAATGCCGGATTCTTTGTGGGTCAGATCCTCGCAAAACATGGCAGCGCTTTGCACCTCCCGGTTGGTCCAGCAGACTGCCGAACTCGTTGCGGCTCAGCCCATTGGTAAACACAGCAAAGTTACAACCTGGCTTTACCATGAAGAATTGTGGGCTTGTGTAAATGATATCATAACATATCATAACATAGAAAAACAGAAGGTGTCAATCCACAAAATCTATTCATGGACTTTGAATCTGATGCTGTTGTTCACAATGTTTTTTTCACATACTGAATCTATGGAAGAAATCCATCCGTGAAGTCAATCTAGATGTCGTACATGGTCTTGACACAGTCAGAAGCGGCTTCAATCTAATGGACTTTGCCATACCGGATCCCATGTGCGCGCGCAAAGAAGCGTGACGATCCGGCATTTGCTGCGTCTGCTCCGGTCCGGAGGGCGGAAGGAGAAGGGGAAGGAGAAGGGACCAAGAAAAGTGGGTCAGGTGGAGCAGTGTCCTATTGTTTTGTTGGATCTTGGCCTGATTTTGCGGCTGTTAAGGTAAACTGGGTTAATCTTGGTTCCCCCCTAAACCTCCAAAATGGCCCTAATGTGGTCGATTTTGAATTGGAAGACTATATGTCCACATGTTTGCATGATTTTTTGTCAGGTCCTCATAGGTCTAGGTTATCCAGTTATACAGGTCAGGTGCGTTCTTTTCACGAGCAAAAGACATTTGGTTTGCGCAATTGATGAGGTTTGAAGTGTTCGAACCTTTTTCCCATACGGTCTCCACCACTATCGCTCTATTTGAGTCTCGTCATGGTCATTGTCTCGAGCGGACCTCCCGCACCACCTGACCGATGTGGTCATGCCACCGGTCGTTCGCGCTTCAAACCGGCACCGCCCGGACCACAGCTGCGCCGCCCAGGATGGCGTCCACCGACAGCATGAGGCGCTGCTGGGTTCACCCGGGCGAGTTCGTTCAACAGAGGGTGCTGGATGACCGGGAGGATCGGATAGTAGGAGGATTTCTTTTATCGGGCACCGGGCATGATTCATATATGAAATTATATGAATGCTTTGTTTGAAGTCAGGGCCTTGGTTTTTTCATGGGCGCATGTTTGTGGGAGTATGTTAGGAGTCTTTGGGGGTTTGGGTTCAATTGAACTTGAAAGTCTGGGATTCTTGCGGATGCTGCAAAAACAGTTCAAGGCAAGCAACGAACGTGCACCTCAAAGCTTCACACATGTGAGAATGAAGTCAGACCCACAGGTTCAATGAAGCCGCATGTGTTACTCATGTGTTGTGTCCAATCGTCCAATCGGTGGGCTAAACACGCAGACGGAATCAAACTGAAAGAAGACCAGTTGGACTTGCTTTGGGTCACCATAAAAACACTGCAATGGATCGAGCCTTGGGGCCTGGTGCTACCGAGTCGCAGGGATCTGTTCGACGACCTGCTGGAGAGCATGTCTTGGGGCCTGGGCGAAGGGAAGACGCGAGGCAGTGTGAATACAGCGAGGCAGTGTGACCAAGGCACACAGAGTTAGAGTGCAGCGAGTCAAAAACCCACCTCGGCGAGTCAGCCAAGTTCAGATCAGCCAAGAACAACGTCAGGCACTCCCAAAAAAACGAGCACTTCACTTCACCCACATTTCACCTATTAAAGAGTTGGTTTCCACGTCGCCCCCCCGGGTGTGGCCGGTGCCGTCGCTTGTCGCCACTGGACACCCAGGTCTGCGTCGCATGAAACGTCACACGGTGACGCCCTATCCCGGCGATGGGTATGCAGGCGGAGCGATTGTTGGGGAAGTCTGCGGACCGGTGGAGCATGCTGTCCCGGTGGTGGGTCACGGTGTGTGAATCAGGTCGTTCCCGCACATTGTGGTGGAACACGCGAAGAATAACATTTTGGGAAAAGAAGAACCTAAAGTTACATGCAAGTTCCATTCTAGAGTGCCTCAAACATCCTTGTCTTTGCAAGTCCACAGCTTTCTGATTATCGTCATCAATGTGTTGAGTTGGAGCACCCTTTATAGTAGGGGTTCGGCGGGCAAATCCATGCGCAGGTGATGAGAATGATGAGAAACATCGCTGGAAGCTGTTGCTTAGTTGGCTGTCGGGCGAAGTACACCAGTAAGAGAAAACCGACCAGACTTACTCAAAAAGCACTCCTGGACTCCTGGACATGTACGTGGACATGTTTAACACAAGAACCCTGAAATATTCTGAAATCAATGATCCCAGCTTGTATATAATTGGTAAACTGCCATGTTTTGCACCGTGACATTGGTGCACCGATTGGACACCAGCTGGGTCGGAACTTTAGAATGCTTGGCCATGTTGAGCATCCAAATTTTATTGGTCGCAGAAGGTTCTTGCATCAATCAGCTGATGACCTCATTCCTGCTGAATCCTTCAACCCGGAAGGTCAAATACAGCGATGGACTGACGGTTCAGTCGTCAACGGTGACAATTTTTGGCTGTCAGTTGGAACCTTTTCCATCATTGATGATGAAGGTCGAACAGTGTCATGTGGAATGGTCAACCATTGGGCACTGTCGTCTTACGTCACTGAACTATGGGCTATCTTCCAAGTCTTTTTCAGTGCAACAACACCTGCCACTGTGTTTTCTGACTGTCAATCTGCGGTTTCAC